TGACCTGGCAGTCACTCCTCCCACCCTAGGGCGAGGGGGCTCATTCCAGGGCATTCATTCCCCCCCACCACTGCCCCCTTTGGAGCCTGCCCCTCCCCCAAGCAGCCTCATTCCCCAGCTGTTTGTCACCCCGCTGGCCTCTTAGGGTGACCACCTACACAGGTTTGCCCAAGAATGAGCAGTTCCCTGGGACGCCAGACTTGCAGTACTAAAACCGGGACTGTCCTGGGCAAACGGGCACGTAGGGTTACCTTGCACCTGCCGCAGCCATGGCTAAAAGTCCCTCACTTCCTCTACCTCCTGCCCCTGCTCCGTATCTCTGTCACTCCCTGCCTGTGATGTCCTCCTCCCGCTCTGTACCTCCCTAGCAACCGCTGGGTGTCCGCTTCCCTGAGAAGCCCTCCCTGATTGCTCGGCACCACCCCCTTTGCCCCCTGGATCATGCTTCTGTTCCCCTGCCACATGTCCTGCTCCTCCTCTACCGTGAGCTCCCCGCAGCCTGGAACCGTGTGGCTGTCTGGTTTTGCATCCCCCATGCCTAGCACAGAGCAGGCACTCGGTCAATATTTGTTGAGTAACTGAATGCACGATGGAGAAGCTGGAATTTTATGTGTTGGCCTGTGGAGGGAAGGAGGGGACCCTCTGGGGCCACCTGGCTCCTCCTTGGGGAGATCTACCCCCTGGGGACTCAGGGGACCCTTCCTTGTATCTCATCCATGTGTAGCATCACCATGAACGGACAGTCCATCGCTTGTAACGGGGGCTGCCAGGCCATCGTGGACACAGGCACCTCTCTGCTGACCGGCCCAAGCAACGCCATTGCCAACATCCAGAGCGACATTGGAGCCAGCCAGAACTCATACGGCCAGGTGAGCCCGGCCCTGACTGCCCTGTTCTGGACCCAAGTGGTGGGTCTGTCCGCCACGCAGAAGAAACCCAAGTCCTCCTAACCCTCAACTCTTTCCAGATGGGGATCAGCTGCTCAGCCATCAGCAACCTGCCCGACATCGTCTTCACCATCAACGGCAATGAGTACCCACTGCCTCCCAGTGCCTACATCCTGCAGGTAAGGGGGCTCTGGGCCAGCCGCCTAGGTGTGCCTGCAGGGAATGCGGCCACATACCACACCACACCCCACACCCCGCCCCCGGCTTTTGCACAAGGGAAAGGGCGCTTCCACAAGAGGAAGCTGAAGGCTGCTCTGGACAGCCTCCAGAGAAAATAGGATACATTGTAAACAGCTGCCTGCATGAAACTGTGGGTGCAGCGCCGCTCCCCCAACAGGGCAAAAGTGAGGCAAAGGCCAGTGGCAGGAAGAGAGGGTTTCTAGCCGCACACCTGAGTCCAAGCTGGGTGCCAATTACTGGCTCGCGGAGTCTGAGCAAGCGGCAGCCACTCCCAGCCTCGGTTTCCTGGTCTGAAAACTAGAGACGCCAGCTGCCCCCATCCTCCGAGGGTGGTGAGGGTGATCAGGTCAGAGCGACCACATCAAAGGCGCGAAAAGGGTTGAGCAAATGGAAATCGCACCTTCCGCAGGGCGGGGGCTTGTGAAGTAACAAATCTTTACTTGGTAGATTACGAGCCACGGGGGGGGGGGGGTAGTTTTGCCCAGTGACTTGAGGCTATTCTGCAAGAAGTGCTGAGGTCCGGGGGGGCGGTCCCCCAGGCATGCTGATTCATTAGTAGGGGGCGGGGCCTAAACAGTGGGGTTTTCCTAAGCCCCCCAGGTGATTCTAGCGCGCAGCCAAGGTTGTGGCCCGGTGCCCCAGTACATGAAAAGGACTAACAGCCGATCCCCTTTGCCACTGGAGGGGGTCAGAATAATGAGAGAAGGCTGTGTCACCCCAGCTTCCAAAATCCTTCACGGCGGCTGAGTTTTCCCCAAACCCCTCAGCCCCGATGCTGATGTCAGGGTCTGTACAGCTGCCAGAAACACTGGATAATGTCTAGTAATCCCTGGAAACCACTAGTAGAATGAGCAGTTTATACAGGCCGACCCCCGGCCGAGAAGAGCCACGTCCCCGGACGCCAGCCAGGACGCCGCTCCTTGCGCGTGCCTTGCGGCGGCCCGCGCTGCCTGCGGCTTAGTCCCCAGTGCCTTGTCACTGCCGAGCCTGTGTCCCATCTCCAGCTTCCTTCTCCTCTTCTCCAGAGCCAGCAGGGCTGTATCAGCGGCCTCCAGGGCATGAACCTCCCCACCGCCTCCGGAGAGCTCTGGATCCTGGGTGACGTCTTCATCCGCCAGTACTTTGCCGTCTTCGACAGGGCAAACAACCAGGTCGGCCTGGCCCCCGTGGCCTAAGCCTGCGTCTTTCCCGCCACGTCCCCAGGAAGATCCCGCCTTAGTTGTCCACTCTAGATGTATATAATTCTCCTGATTGTTCTTCCTATGGGATCGTGGAGGCGGAATCTTGGCCCTGTTCCCTATCATACCAATAACGTAGAATAAAAACCCAACCTCCTGAAACACGCTCCGTGCAGTCTCTTCTCTTCGTATTTCTCGCCGCACCATCGGGGTTAGAACGCCAGGCCAGGGGGATAAGATGACCACATCCGCTTGGACCGCACCAAGCAGTGACAGTGGTTCACACCCCATAATCGAGTCAGGAAGATGAACAGCCCTCCGCGGGTTTGGCTGGGAGCGTCGTGTAAAGACAGGCACCAGAAATGCCAGGCCTGTTGCCTCCTGGTGGAACAGGGCACCAAGGTTCTTGGTGAGGGAGTCAACTTCTTTCTCCCAAAGGCAGTAAGAGATAGTGAGAAAAAGAAAGAGATCGAGGGCAGGTAGCTTTCCACCGACATTCCTAAGCAGGCCAAGCCAGGCAAGGGTCGGAGGGGTGACCAAAGCTGACACCCCCAAATCTACTGGGCTGCTCTCTGTTGGTCAGCTGCTTGATCCAGACCAACGCCTGAAAACCCCTCGAGCCTCTCACTCTGGGTACAGATCACTGAACGGGTCCATTTTCCCATCAATGAGTTAAACTTATTTTTTATTTATTTTTTTAATGCTTATTTATTTTTGAAAGACGGAGAGGCAGAGCGTGAGTAGGGGAGGGGCAGAGTGACAGAGAGAGGGAGACGCAGAATCCGAAGGAGACTCCAGGCTCCGAGCTGTCAGCACAGAGCCCGATGCGGGGCTCAAACTCACGGACCGTGGGATCATGACCTGAACCGAACGAAGCCGGACGCTTAACCGACTGAGTCACCCAGGCGCCCCGCCCTGTCAGTCATTTAAAGAGGACGGTGTTGGGGCGCCTGGGTGGTGCAGTCGGTTGAGCGTCCGACTTCAGCCAGGTCACGATCTCGCGGTCCGTGAGTTCGAGCCCCGCGTCAGGCTCTGGGCTGATGGCTCGGAGCCTGGAGCCTGTTTCCGATTCTGTGTCTCCCTCTCTCTCTGCCCCTCCCCCGTTCATGCTCTGTCTCTCTCTGTCCCAAAAATAAATAAACGTTGAAAAAAAAAATTAAAAATAATAAATAAAGAGGACGGTGTTCCAGGCCCCTGAGCAGAGGGTGTGAGAAGGAAGTGAGCAGGCTCATTAGCAGATATCGCCCTAGCCATGAAAACAGGAAATCCTTAGAGCATTTCTGCCCATGGGTTTGGAAGCACAATGTCCAATGAGGAACAAAGTTACAAAAGAAGGAGGCAACACCTAGCTTTCTAGGTCGTGCTTCCCGGAGGTGCCCAAGACATGTTTCCCAAAGGCTTGGCGAAGTGCTCCCGCAAAGTGATCTCTTTCACCTTGACTCAGCTCAGCGTGATGCCGCTTCCTCCCGGGTTCCTCTCTCGCTGGGGAACCCACTGCAGACCCCAGCTTCTCAGCCGCACCGTGGGGAAAAACCCCCACAGCCGGGGGGGCCGCTGGATTCCAGGCTGAGGGCCGGCACTAGGCCTCCCTGCAGAGAGGGAGTGACTTTGGGGTGCGCAGGACAGCATGGCTTTGGAAACTCTCTTGTTGCCATCCTCCCCCGATTTGTCATTTGTCACCCATGCAAATCTAAGATGTGGGGCTCTAGGATGTCCCGGTCTCCCTACTGTCACTAATCCCCTCCCTACCCCATCTTCCACAGCCGAAAGATCTTTTTGAAACATAAATCTGATCACATCACTCCCTTGCTTAAAGCCTTCTTTTTTTTTTTTTTTTTTTTAATGTTTATTTTTGAGAGACAGAGAGAGAGCACGCTTGCCAGCGGGGTAGGGGCAGAGAGAGAGGGACAGAGGATCCGAGGCACATTCCACGCTGACAGCAGCGAGCCCAAAATGTGGGGCTCGAACTCACGAACCTCGAGATCACGACCTGAGCCAAATCGGACGCTCTGTCAACTGAGCCCCCCAGGCACCCCCATGAAGACCTTTAATTAATGCCTTGGAATTGCACAGTTGAATAAGACAATAAGCCCTCCAACCGTTGCATGCTCTGGTCCCCAGCTACCTTCCCTGCCTCACTTTGACCCCTCTCACCCTGAGCTCCTGCCACCCTGGCCCTTTGCCACCTCCACAGATGCCCAAACTTCTTCCCTACCTCCGGACCTCTGCACACCCCGTCCCTTTTACCTGGCTTGCTGCTCCTTTTCTCCTGACCTGCTAACACCAAGCGTCCTGCAGACCTCAGCTTAAACAGCGCTTCCCTGCGAAGCCCTCCCTGACTACCGTCGCTCGGCTCGGAGCCTGGCTCTCCCATCCGTGAGGGCATTCAGCACAACCCGCCATCGTGCATTTATGGGACAGCTTGTTTTCGATCCACTGGGGCAGGGACGGCTGAAGCCTCAGCGTCAGGAGCAGGGCCCGGCACACTGTAGGTGCTCAATAAATATGTGTTGACTGAGCAATGAATTCAAGATGACTTTTTGGAAGGAAACAACAAGGAAGTGGATCTGACTTCACCGAGGGCACGCGTAAGACCCAGATGGGTCCGCTCCCACCCCCACCAGCATTCTGTTCCAGTCGTTCGCGGTCCCGAGGCAAACAGGTGGACTTCTTGGGTTTCTGGGGAGGAATTTCACACTGTCCTGTCTCCTCTGCTGTGTTTCCGTTTCTGGCATTTCCAGAGCACCTCCCACGAGCCAGGCGGTGTGCTCGGCTCTGGGGATGCAGGCCCGGCTTCCTGGACCCTTCCCACTCTGCTCCCGGGCCCCGGCAGCTGCAGCCCAGCCCCTCCCTCCCAGCCCCTCTTCCGTTTCCTCACCCTGGGATTCCTGGATCCCGACAGAATCTAAAAAGGCTCCCCTTTAAACAGACCATTTGGACTGAGAAACCCTGAGCTGACGTATCTGATCTGTCTCTTCCCATTTCGCCCCACGAGATAAGACGGATTCACATTCCTTTTGTACAGTCTCGGGCTTCTTCGTCTTTCCTCCCCACTCCCCGCAGGCCTTGGGGGTCTGAGCGCAGCTCCCCCTTCACGCTTGTCCAGGGCTGTATTTTCATCTCCTAGGTCTCTGCTCCACTGGTGTGTGGAACCCACAGCGTCGCCGGACGCACTCTGCTGGTAAGGACGGAAACTGGTACAGCCCCCAAGGAATGCCATTTGGCAATATCTATCCAAGTTAGAAATGCGTGTACCTTCTGGCCCAGTAACGTCACTTCTGGGAATTTCTCTTAAAGATACACTTGCACACGTGCAAAATGATGTAAGTACAAGGTTATTCTTCGTAGCATCTTTTGTAAGAGCAAGATTTGAAACGACCCAAATGTCCACCCGGTGGGGGGCTGGTTTTAAACAACTCGGTGTGCGGGCCGCCAAGGTTTACAATGAGCATGCTCTCCTAGGTGCTGGGAAAGATCTTGAGAAGAGATGGTTAGGTGAAAACACACATGCAAAGGTGACAACAGGCCTGTGTTATGCTGCCTTTGGATTACAAAGGAAGAAACTAAGATTTCCTTGCATTTACATACCTACCGGACCTGAGAAAGGACACCCAGAATCAGAAACCAGAAAAGGAAGAAGAGGGGGAGCCGGGTAGAAGAGGGATGGGGGAGATGTCTCACTGAATACAGTTTTACGTGTTTGTATTTCTAATGATGTGAACGCACTGCACACTAAAATTCAGGGAAGGTACTCTTAAATGTGAGTTTATCCTAATTCGAAGCCTACTGTGGTTTGTTCTCAAGCCTGTTCATCTAAAAACCTCCAAACCCACAGGGCACCTGGGTGGCTCAGTCAGTGAAGCATCCGACTTCGGCTCAGGTCATGATCTCAGGGTTCGTGGGTTCGAGCCCCGTGTCAGGCTCTGTGCTGACAGCTCGGAGCCTGGAGCCTGCTTTGGATTCTCTCCCTCTCAAAAATAAATAAACTAAAGCAAAACAGAACCTCCAAACCCAGGTCTTTTGAACAGGGTCTCCTAATGTGGCCCTTTGGGAACTTCCCAGGTCCAGGGAAACTGACACCGCAGACCAGGCTTCCAGCATCCTCTACTGCTCCTCAGACCCCTCCTAAGGACGGAGTCCCAGGTACAGGACACTGCAGGGCTCTTGGGGAGACACCCAAGAACAACCCCCCACCCCCGCCCCTGCATGTTGGAGTCAGAGAATTCAGACCAGCTGCTGAGAATTCAGACAGGCTCATCCCATTCATTAAAAGCAGCTCTCACCCATCTGGGGTCCTGAAGGCAGCCATCCAGTCTGCTGGAGCCAGCCAGCCCTGGACAGGGGCCCATGCATCCTGGGGCTTATTTCGGGCAGAGCACGGTCTTACCAAGTTGGATTCCACTGGGGCCTCCCAACATGTCACATCAGCACTGCTTGAAGGAGGACAGCCCTGGGCCCCCCAGGGGTCCTGGGAAGGGACGGTGCTGACCACAGTGTGAGGTAATGGCAGTCCCGGCCAGCCGGGAGGCCCTCTGCAGACAGTCCCCTACCTCTTCTCCAAGCGCCTGCTTGTGCCCGGGAGACCGTATAAAGGAGGCAGGCTCCATCCTTGGCCCTGGCCAGTCGGACATGCTGGAGAGCCAACAGCCTGGGAGCAAGAGGGGGACAAGAGAGGCACGAGGATGCCTTTGTCCACAGGAGGACAGTTCAGAGGCCTGTGCCACACGGTCTCCCAGAGGGCTTGCGGAAGGGCTAGGTACCAGATGCCCATAGCCGCGACCCACTCTGTAATGCACCGCGATTGGTTTCCTTCCCGTGTCTGTCTCACCGCCCCCTTCCCTTGCCGTGCTCCCCGGGATCACTCCCCAGGTCAGTGACTCTCCCCCAGATATTTATCTCTAAGTCTGCTCTTGGGGGAACCCAAACCAAAACAGGGTAATCACAGCGCCCTACCATATACTGTCTCTAAAACTACAATGGAAGAATCCAACCAAGTGTGATGTGAAGGGACAAAACCCAGACTGGGAGTCAGAGAAACGGGGCTCTCCTCCCAGCTCAGACCTCATACTCTTGCGGAACCTTAGGACACTTCTCCGGGCCTCTGTGGTCCTAGCTGTGAATGGGGAGCGGGGGTCCAGATAAGCATCATTTATACTTGGACCACCTCGGGGAGGACGTTTACAGCTATCCTCCTGCCCTTTGCTTTTTTTTTTAAACATTCAAAATAAATACAATTTACTGGAGCTCTGTGGAGGGGGAAACTGGGACTAACACTCAAGTTGCATACTTTATTGAATAGCCATGAGAAACTTGGCACTGACTTCTAGCCATTACCGATAGCCGGGTTGTTCGAGAAGGGGCAGTTTGGAGGCAGCCAGCCTTAAACACTTTCCTCCTGAAATTAGATCATGGGGGGCGGGGGCGGGGGTGCTTCGTAAAGTGGGCGGGCCGCACCAAGTCACAAGTGCAAACCACAGAGGCCTGAGCCTGCCATTGTCACAGCTCCGAGCTGCGGGAGTGTTACGATTCCCCATTAGACAGACCCAGGAGCCGGACCTAAGGTCCCTGGGCTAGTCACAGCCGAGCAGGGCATCCCAGACCTCACTCCTCACCACACGCCTATGTCTTACTGGATGAAACAGTCTCTAAATCCTTTGCATCTCTGAGTCTCGGGTTTCCACGCTCCCAGCTAGAAATTCGCGATTCCTGCCACCACACTGGGATTAGGACCTCACTGATACACTCATGTCTAGGTGGGTACCCCAGACGGACGCTCCCCCCCCCCCCGCCCCGCCCCAGGAAGTGTGCTGGGCAGCAGGTCAGAGGGCAGCTGGGGGTGGGGGTGAGGGCTGGGCAAATGTGATGGGGGCTGCAGAATAAACAGGTTTCAGTGGTGGCAAGCTGCTGACTGGGTCCTCTCCATCTGTCGCACACACTGGGCTGCACCCGCCCAAATCCTCCCCTTCGGGACTGAAGATTTATTCTCCCAGCTGCGGGCTGCCGGGAAGGTTGTTGGCTAATAGCTCTCGGCCATCAGCCCTCCCCGGGCTGAAGGGAGCTGCCTGGCCAAGGTCGCGCCCCTTTCCTGGGTCAACACGGGGGTCACAAAGCCCTGGCCCTGGGCCCCAATTCAGGACAACTCTGAAGGGCCATCCTAGCCTCAGAGGGGGTTGGCTGAGGCCTCGGGGCTTCCCCCTCCTGGCTGCCCTCCCTGCCTCCCACCCCTCAGGTGCCATTGCTGAGAGGGTGCCCTAGGGAAACCAACCCTGCTCCTGTTTAATTCCAGAGGCTCCCACCCAGGGAAACCAACCTACGAAGGCTCCTCCTCCGTCCGTCTTTTCCCTTTCCAGTATAGGAGCCCTCCCAGCATCGAAGTCAGCAGGTGCTTACACGAGACCCCCCCCTGCCCCAGTTCAGCTCAGGTGTTTTTTTTTTCCCCAGCCGGGGCGTGGGGTGGGGTGGAGGTGGGGTGTTACTTTCCCACCGGTGGGCTCGGAGTGACATTTCCCCACGTTTCCAAAGGCGAGAAGTGAAGGAGCAGGGCAGCCGGCGGCGGAGGGGGGAAGACGGAGACAGCCTTTAATCGGGAAATCTCGGGGAGGGACGAGGGACGGCTGGAGGCACAATCCCAGGGGACTCCCAGGCCCTCTGACTCTTCTCCAGAGCAGGGAGCTCAGCAGCCCCAGCCTTCCTTCCAAGACAGGCCGCCGTGGTGTCCGAGGAGGATGTGACCCTGGAGAATGCCGTTTGCCTCCTCTCACGGCACATTCCAAATGCTTCTTGGGGACAAGGCTGCATTGGACCCCGGGGACGTTCCATCCCCCCCAGGAGCCCCGCAGCAGTGAGCCTCTGGCGTCACCAGCCTCGGTTGCCCCAGAGCCTCCCTGCCAGTGCCCAGGGCCCCTGGCAGTTTTCTGTGTCCGAAGTCTCCCAGGCAGGGCCCTGAAAGCCGAGGCCGGCTTACCCGGTGGATTCCTCCCCCTCTGAGGTCCCCGTGCGCCGGGGGCTGGGGCTGGCCACGACTGCCAGGGCCGCAGACAGTCTGGAGGCAGCGGGAGAGAGTCTGCGAGGCCGGAGGTGGGTGGCGGGGGTCTCTGAGGGGCTGGGGGCCGTCGCGGAACGGGCTGACGGTTCAGTCAGGACGATGGCAGGCGGAGAGGGCTGTCTGGTTGCTGTCTGGGCTCCAGATGAGGATTCAGGCTCTGGGGTTACAGGAGGAGGCCCAGGAGCCCTGGGAGCAGCTAGAGGTAGAGTGGAGGCTCTTGGAAGGATCAAAGGCCCCGGGGAGGGCTGGGAGGCCCCCGGCTCCCCTGGGAATGTGCCCCCGGACCCCGGATGGGGTGAGGGTGAGGCCTGGTCTCCTGAGGGGCTCGTGGGTAGAGTCTGCGTGGTGGTCACGTTCGTTCTGAAGAGGAGCTGGAGAACATGGGGCACTGGCCTCTCAGGCAACGCTGCTGGGGGGCCCGGGCACGAGCTACAGTTCACCGGGGCCTCAGTGTCCCCACGGGGGCTCCGAGCTGCCTTGCCAGACTCCACGGCTCTTCTTTCCAGGGAATCTAGAGAGAAGAGGAGGAATCAAGATGCATATTGGTTCTCCGGACGGCCGAGGCGGCTCTGGGATGAGTTGCCCTGGGGACGGAGGCCGCTCACACCTGGTAAGGAGCAGCTGGCCCCTGCCTCCAGGGAGAGACCAAAAGGGAACCTTGAATAGAGGGGGGCAATCCCCCAAAGTCACTCTGCCAGGCATTGGCTCTGTGACGTTGTATAAGGCACATAACTCCCTTGGGCCTCGGTGTCCTCATCTGTAAAATGGGCATCATCACGACGTACAGAGACACTCTGAGGACTGAATGAACGGTGCATGGGAAATCTCAGCCTAAACCCGGATGTTAAGGACGGACGGACGTTGGGTGATAACCATGTGTCCGTGGAGGTTCGTGGATTGTGGCAAACGGACCATCTGGTACAGGATGTTCGTGACAGGGGAGGCTGTACCGTCTGCTCATTTTTCTGTGAACCTAAAACTGCTCTAAAAAAAAGTCTATTGAAAAAAAAAAAAAAACCAAAACTTTTTGGAGTCTCAGCCTGGAGCCCGTCACGTCATAAGGGCTTGACTCACGGGCAGATAACAAGCAAAAGAAGAGGCTTAGGCCGAGAGAGCGAGGAGTGAAGACGCATAAGAAGGGAGAGTATTGGAGAAAGGTATGATCAGAAGGAGACAGATGCTGTCAAATCCATAAAACCTGGAATGATTACATTTTACTTTTTAGAACTTTTGTAATGTTTTTTATTTATTTTTGAGGCGGGGGGCAGAATGCAAGCAGGGGTGGGACAGAGAGAGAGGGAGACACAGAATCCGAAGCAGGCTCCAGGCTCCGATCTGTCAGCACAGAGCCCCACGCTGGGCTCGAACTCACGAGCCGTGAGATCGTGACCTGAGCGAAAGTCGGACATTTAACCGACTTCATTCCAGGTGCCCCTGGAATGATTTTAAGAATCATCTGAAAGATGGACACACAACTCTGAATATACCCGAAGGCACGGAACTATATGCTTTGAGTGTGCGAATTAAGTGGTGCGTGAATTACATCTCAAGAAAACTGTTATGTTTATTAAGTAGCAAAAGGAAACAACTCATATTCTATTTCAACAAAAAGTGGCTTCTCCCTAAAAGGAGCTATTGTTAGGAAGAGGCGCATGGCGAATGGAGCCAAAGGTGGAGTGTTCCTGGGAGAAGCGGCCAGGCTGTGCACCTTACCTCCTTGGGCCTCTGTTTCCCCTTGTGAAGGCAAGACAGCACGGGGCAAGGAATCGGAGAGACCCCGGCTTGAGCCCAACACCAGCAGCTAGAGCTTGAGTGGTGATCTTGAGGTTTGTGGGTTCGAGCCCCATGCGCCCCAAGCGCGGAGCCTGCTTGGGATTCTCTCCCTCTCTCTGCCCCTCCCTCAGTAGCGTGCGCGCTCTCTCTCTCTCTCAAAATAAATAAACATTAAAAAAAAAAACATACAATAGCCACACGTAAGGTACTTTACGGGAGTGTTAAATTGGAAAAATTAAATTCAAGGCACATGGTGTAGAGCTGGAGGACGTGTGGGGAGCCGGCTACCCCACGGCAAGTTGCCGCTTGGTCGAGGGGCCCCGTCTGGTTACGCGCTGTCATGCTGCTGGGGTCCCCGCGCCACACCTGCACCCCCCCGCCCCCGCCAGTGCCCCATGGCCCAGGATTCCACCTGCTAACCACAGGGCCCCGACACAACTCACAAAGTGTGAAAAGAACAGAGTTGTCGGACCCGAGATTTTTCACAGCAGGTCCATTATGAATAGACAGAAAAAGAAGAAGCAAGAAACTGTCCAAACGTCAGCTTAAAAGTCAGAGGGTGAGCAAACCGGAGTATCTGGGGGCTTTTTACAACGACCAGCTCTGGGCCACGTCGGTACTTTAAAGCCATGTGTTACAGCACTTTGTCTGGGTCCTATCTGTACCTCTGCAGAAAGAGCCACACGGGTGGACCCTCATGATGGAGTGGACAAAAAAATGAAAATCGTGTTCAGCAGTCAGGACAACGCAGGAGCTAAAAAGCATCAACTCTGGGCTCAAATCCCGGCTCTCCTGCCCGTCAGTTACGTGACCTTGAGCGTGCCCCTCCACCCTTCTGCGCCTCTGTTTCCTCACCAGGAAACTGGAGATGGTAACACCTAGTATTCAGGACATACTGTGGTTACTCTCCTGCCAAGTTGATTCAGTTCCTAAATTGTGGGGTGTTTTTTTTGTTGTTGTTGTTGTTGGAAAAGGGAGAAAGAGGAGAAAAGGAGATTAAGGGAGGAGGTAATGAAGGAAAAGAGACACAGGTGTCACAGATGTGGCACAAGCGACGCTGGATGAGGATGAGCGAGCCCAGGCCTGTCCTCGCCGCGTGCTGGCGGTGTGGCCTCGAGCCAGACGCGTTCCCTCGCTGAGCCTGGGTGTCTCACACCCAGCCCTTTACAAGTTCTCCGTTTCTGGCAAGAGCAAAGTGCAGGAAGACAGTGGAGAAGCCCCAGGGCCCAGAGGCCCGCTCACCTGGACAGGAGGGACAGCAGTCCCCAGGGGGCGCGGAGGGGTCCGAGCAGGCCGGCTGGCAGGGCACCTTCTCACAGCTCACCTCTCCCAGCTGGGGAAGCACAGGGACACACGTGAGGAAGCCCCATCCCGTCCCAGGACAGCACCCCACGCGCCTCTTACACCCACAGAAAGCTCCTGGGACAGAGGCTGAACAGCAGGGCCGCGTTAAGGAGACCACAAAGAGGGAGGACGCCATCAAATCTGGAGGCATGCTGGCCGGCAATTAAAGCTGGGAAGGCAGGAGGAAGGTGGGCTTATGTTGGCTGGGGGGACTTACAGTTTTGCAAAGGGACAACAGGCCAGACGCAGTCCCTGGCCGGGCAGCCCCTGCGTCCCCAGGCCCAGCTTACCTGGCACGTGCACTGGGTACAAGGCTCATCGTCCAAGGTGAACACCTGGCCATTCACCACCTTCCTTCCCTCGTAGTTGCAATCTGCGGGGGCAGAGGGGACAGGCCCATGAGGGCCAAGGCCCAGCTGGGAGCCTCGGACATAGGGGTGCTGGTCCCACTCACCTCTGCAGACCGGGCAGCATTCCCCGTCGGGGTGGAAAGGGTAGGTGCAGGTGATGGGGCAGTCCACCGGGGAGCAGGCCACCGAGCCCAGCTGCGGGACACAGAAAACACACAAGGCCTTTTGCTCCGAGCAGCTGATGGGACACTCGGGAAGGACAGCCGCATAACCACGGAGCGATCATCGGAGCCACCACGGTTGGGGGACAGGTTCATTCACTCAGTCTGTCTTCTCGACAGAACGCAAGCCCCACAGAGCCAAGGGCCTGGCCTTGACCGTGCCGCTCATCTTTCAACAGGTCCCTGCCGATCAAATCCACAAAATACCCAGGAAAGGTGAGCACCAGAAACCGAGGAGACAGAAGGACCCAGAAGCCTGAAGCTCCCGGAAGCACGTGAACAAACAGGGCCACTCAGAGGCCCGAGACGTTCACCCTGAGTTTCTCTGTTTCTGTAGACCTTGTCCCTTTCCACTCGGTGTGCTCACTCGACTGGCCTCGGACGTTTCCAGCGTGACAAGGAATAGGACTTTTTCCCCCATTTTCCAAACACTAAATGATGTTAACTATCTCGCATGCTTTTTCAGACCGAGAGGCAGCCTGGCTTAGGGGCAAAGGTTCACCTCCTGGAGCGCAGACTCAGAATACTAGGATTCGATTCTTGGCACTTGAGTGGACCAGCGTGAGAATCTTGAGGGAAGGACTTCGTCTCTCCGTGCCTCACTTTCCTCACCTAGCAGATGGACATGACCCTGGCACCTACCTCAGAGGATTCCCCCGAAGATTAACTGAGCTCATGCAGAGAGAGGGCCGAGAGCTGGAGCGGCACACAGCAAGAAGTCGATGATGGGAGTATATCACAGATTCCAGCTCAGAGTCCTGGGCTTGAGGCCTTCACCTTGCACCCTCAGCGAGCACGCACGTGTTTACTACTGGGAGCCCCCAAGACTCCCCCTGATCACCCAGAAGCGGAGGGCTTTTGCTGGGCAGGCTTAAAAAATATTTCTCCGGCCCCGAGTAAAGATTCACCCTCGGTAGGGCTGGAGGGAGCCAACTTTCACCGTGACCCAGGATGACTTTTCTCTTGGAAGGTTCTGGATTGTGCCTCCAAGGTTCATGAGCAGGGGTCAGTGTCTGTGGAGTGTCCACAGACGGGGGTCAGGTCTGGGTGGTCCTTACCAGGCAGATGCAGCTCAGACACGGGTCCAGCACGGATGGGAAGGTCTGGTTGTTGTAGAAGATTCTGCCTGTGTAGGTGCAGCCTGCCAGAGAAAGCAGGGGGTGAGCGCCAGCCAGGAAGGTGGCTGGTGACCAGGTGCCTGCCAAGGATGAAGGTCCCAAGAGTTTTCTGGGGAGCAAAGGTCAGGCCAGCCCCAGGCAGTCAGCGCGGGGTTTGGAGAAGAGACAAAACACAGGTCTGGACTGGGCGCGGACTTTTTTTTTTTTTTTTGGCACTGGATTTAGCAGAGGGGTCAGAGTGGCTCTTCTTCCAGGGAGGGAAGTGTTTCCTCCCCTGCCCCTCACCGGGCAAGATCAAGCCAGGGGGACTGGGAGACACAACCTGAGAGCCTGGCACCACAGCCATCCTCTCTGCTCCCCCGTCGACCCCCCACCTTCCAGAACATTCCCCCACACCGCCTCCCTCCACTTCCCCAAGCCCGCAGAGGCCAGATCTGAGGGTTGCCACCTCGATGCCATTTATCCCATTCTAGTAAGTATAAAAGGAGGTGACAGGACAACAGGAAACTCTTTTATCATGTATATATGTTAGATACATTATTTGTTACTTATAGATACATGTTATAGATACGTTATATATAGATAAAGATACTTATGTCTTGAAAAGAGATGAAAAAAACAAAACCATGAGGCTAAAAGTGATAAGGGGCCTTTTAAATTGTTTTTATTTTTGCTCTCTGTATGTTCTTCAATACTTTTGAAATAATAGAACAGGTGAAAATTAATATAAAAAAAATAAGTATCTGGGAGCCTGGCTGGCTCAGTTGCAAGAGCGTGTGACTGTTGAACTTGGGGTTATAAGTTCATGTCCCACGTTGGGTGTAGACATTATGTAAAAATAAATTTTTTTTTTAAATAAAATTTTAAAAAATGGAAAAAAGTATCATTTTTTTAAGTTTACTTATTTTGAGAGAGAGAGAGAGAGAGACCACTCATGCAAACAGGCAGAGAGAGACAGAGAATCCCAAGCAGGCTCCACACTGTCAGCGCAGAGCCTGATGAGGGGCTCAATCCCACAAACTGTGAGATCATGACTTGAAATCAAGAGTCGGACACTCAAGTGACTGAGCCACCCAGGCACCCCCCAAAAGTATCATTTTTATATTCTCTCACTGTTCCCTGTTTCACAGGTGTGAACCTTTGTCACCCCACCTAGGCTACAAACTCAGCATATCTTTCTCTCTGCTTCTAGACCCAGACTGGGCCTGCCTTGGGCAAACTGCTTTCCGAACCACCCCCCTCACTTTCCTCATCTGTAAAATGGGTTTCTCCCATGGGGCTGTTGTGAGGATGACCGGAGATAAAGCCTGTGTGGTCCTGTCTGGAGGAACCTGGGGCAGGGTGAGCCCAGATGTGGGGGGGAAGGGGCGCTGTGTAGCCCCACAAGCAGGAAATTACCTGCTGAACAGTCCGGACAGCACTGTCCAGGGATCCGAATTGGGTGAGGGCAGGAGTCCACGCAGTCTGTCCTCTTGCAGCTCACTGAGCCATCTGCCTGAAGGAAGGAAGAACTTCACCCAGACCCCACCTGACACAACCGGGCCCGGCCTCCTTGCCCGACCCCACCCTCCCTCCCACCAGAGAGGGCAATGCCTCAGACTGGCCAAGGCTTGCCTGGAGGGCGCCATGATGCAGCTAGGACGTGGCAGGTACCCCCACACAGAGGACCGGCTCCTTGGGAAAGGGGGTGTGAGCCTTCCGGGAAGGCTTCCCTATCTAAGGAGAAGGAAGGTCAGAGCGGGGTTTTGGTCTCCTCGGCTTCCTGTCCTTCTCTGGCAACAGCCAAAGCTCACCACCACCCCATCCAAATTCTCTCAGCTTTTCCCTGGAACCCTGGCTCACCCCAAACCTATAGAGTACAATAAAATCCTATTTTTATAGAAAACTATTCCACCGGAAATGTCTATTTCAGAAGACAAAAGCACCACATATGGTTTCTTTTCTTCCCTCCGAGAATCTGAACGTTGACAAAGCTTTCTTAGACTACGAGTGCCCTGGGTCGGTCACAAAGGGGAAAGGCAGCGGAGGTACCCTCCTCCCGACTGTAATCCCAAGGAAACATTCCCAAGTTCTGCAAGGGTCTAAGGCTTTTTAACAAATGGCGCATCCAAGGTACTTGGGGGCTGTGCCTCTCGCACGCCAGTGTGCACATGGGTCACCGGGGACTAAAATGCAGATTCTGAGCCCGGAGGTCTGAGCAGCCTAGAGATTGTGCGTGTCCAACAGGCTCCAGGTGATGCCGAGGACACCGCTGGTGCAGGGACCTCATTTTGAGAAATAAAGCTCTAAGCTCCGAGGCATGAATCAAGAACTCAAAACAAAAGCCGACGTGCATACTCAATGAGCCGAAACAATAGTGTTTCTTGGTAAGTGGCTATGCTGGCATATCGGGGTCAACCGGACTCTAAAGCTCAAGCACCCCCTCCTTATCCATTTCTGATGAACTGAGGTCACAGATTCACGTTCCCGAAGGAAACACTGCAGCTTCGCAGGAAAGGCCTGCACTACTGAGCCGCGGGCTGTTAGGCCCCTTCAGTTACCTGTGCCCAGGGAAACCTGCGCTTGGGACCCGAGTCCTCGCAAGCAGCGTGTGGCACCCCATTTAGGCAGGCTGCCAAGCTCCGCTGTTCCAAAAGAGCTACCAAGGACAGAAGAAACTGGGTCCCAGCCCCTCCTGTAAACATGGAACCTGCCAGCATGGGAGGGAGACGAGGGGCGGGCTGAGGCGGCCCGGCTTCTGGAGCAGGGGGTGCCCGGCCCGGAGGGCCCGCGCAGGGCAGAAGGGCTTGCTCGGGGCGAGGCAGGGACCGCCGGGGGAAGCAGCTGAAGGCGTGCACGCTGTCATTCACCTGGCAGATGCACAACTCACAGGGGTCACCGGGAGACCAGATCTGTCCAATAGGAAACTCAACCCCGTTGTCGTCGAGAGAGCAGCCTGGCCGGGGGACAGTGAGGGAGAAAGCTCGGGTGGGCGCGAGCGCCAAGGAGGTGCTGAGCGCCCGCCGGACCTACAGCAACACCCCACCAAGGACAGCCGCCTCTGCTCACTCACCTGCTGGGTGAGCTGTCCCACCACCTGCTGGACCCAGGGGCTGCCCGCAGCTGTCTGTGGGCTCCCTCAGTTAGTGACTCTTCCCTCCAAACGTGTGCCCAGTTCACACAGGCACCTCGCACAGACATACCGTTAACCTACAAACCCATAAACACACACATTCACACACACACGGGCACACTCGCACAATTACTGCAAACACATACACACACACACACACACACACTCATAGAGACATACACGCTTACAGAAACACACACCCTAAGTCTTTGCACGCAAAGCTCAGCCTCCCTCCTGGAGGGCATCGCCCTGGGGTGCAGGGCTGGGGGCCCTCACCTGTCATGGGTGTGGGCTCCCGGCAGGTGAAGCAGCACTGTCCAGGGCCCAGCCACCACTCCTCTCGGGGACAATCCAGTTCCGGACATGGTGTGAAGGAACATTCCACCTCCCCGTTCTGGAAGAGAACCAGGCACACGGGCCAGTGAGGGCAGCTCCCCGGCCCTGGGCCATCTGAAAGCTGAAGAGGAGGCTGCCAGGCTGCTGCTGTCATTCTCCTAAAAGTGACAAAGAATCTCCAGGGATGGGGGTGGGGGTGGCTGGGGGGAGGCCAGGAGCACGTTCTGGGACGTCCCAGCTGTTGGGCTGGGGGTCTCCGCCTGCCCGGGCCATAGCCCCAGCACCCCTTCCCTTCACTTGTGCAACAGCCTTCTGCTCTCACCCCAGTGCACCCTCACTCTGCAGCCACAGAACGTTCTCGTGCACCAATGTGATCGCACGGCTCCACCAGTTAAAACCGGTCATCAGCTCTGCCAAGTCCAGAGACCTCAGCCTGGCCAGAAAAGCCCTTCCTGAGTCTGTGGGAGAGGCTGTGAGGCCCCCTCCTCCCCGCGACCCCTTCCTCTAAGGACTGCCTTTGGTTGACAGCCGCCGAGTCCTTCAGGTGCCTGGATGGTTCCTTCACCCCCACTTCCCGGAGAGCAGAGGGAGTGCATACAACTAACTGATGCGAGCTCCCTGATCTCTGCGCACACCCGTCTCTGCCGTGCAACTCCCTCCAGAGCTCCCTGTGGAGTCAGCCTGAGACCCCGTCTTCACCTGGCTCCTTCCTCTGCCCTTGGCTGCCATTCCGAAGATGACTTACACGAGAATCCTGCCCCAGGCCCTGCTTCTCAGACCCCAACTCAAGGACCCTCCCTACGCACAGCTTCCTCTCTGGCCTAGTCTCTTGCACTCTGTGCCCCAGGCAGCAGGGACACGTTCAGGCCTTAGAACGGGCTGTGCGTTCTCGCTTCTGCCGGGCACACCTGCCTCAGGCTCCTCTCCCTCACCCCTCAGGTGTCAACTTAACATCCCTCCTCCAAGAAGCCTTCCCTTCCGGTGAGGAGCCCCGGTCACCAGCCCACAGCCCACCTAGGCTGTGGGCTCCCTGAAAGAGGGGACTGGGGCTGTCTCGTGCTTAGCTGTGTCCCCAGCATTTGGCATTGCTCTGGGTACACAGTAGGTGCTCTATAAATAGCTCTGCTGAAGGGTGAACTCCAAGGAGACTGTGGGCAGGCCTTGGTGAACGCGGGTCCTCTTAATGCCCCTGCTGCCTCAGTTTCCCTTCTGCCGTGTGGCAGCTCCTAGTCTCCTGGTCGAGGCATGCTGGGAAAGTCCTGCGCCCTGCTCCCCTCCCCCACACCCACCTACCTGGCAGACACAGGTGGTACACTCATCACCTCCCACACTGAACACAGCCCCGTCCGCGTACCACCGGCCGTGGAAATAGCATCTCACTGCAGAGGAGAAAGGGAGAGGCAGCTAAAGAGAAAGGGGAACAGTGGGGAGGGGGGGCCCTCGGGAAGCTAACACTGCCACCATGCCCCAGCATACCCCACACTCAGGGAGCCAACCGCTCCCCTCCAAACCCTTGACAAAAAAAATAAAGCTGTTGCTTAAAAACTGATGGAGAGTGAGTCACGTGCAAACTAAGGTCCTTAACCAAAAAGGGAGGGAATCCCGGAATAACTAAAGAGTAAGAAAAAAAAAAAAAGAAGAAATGAAAAGAGACTGGCCCAGACACCCAAGACAAGGTCCGGGACAAATGACATCCCCTGGAGGTAGGGAGGAGTCAGTGAGAGCCTCTCCTCTGAAGACTGCCCCCCTACAGATAAAAACAGCCTAGGGGCACCTGGGTGGTTCAGTCGGTTGAGCCTCCCCTCTGACTTTGACTCAGGTCATGATCTCGTGGTTTGTGAGTTCAAGCCCCGCGTCGGGCTCTGTGCTGACAGCTCAGAGCCTGGAGCCTGCTTTGAATTCTGTGTCTCCTTCTCTCTCTGCCCCTCCCATGCTCATGCTCTGTCTCTCTCTGTCTCTCAATAATAAATAAACGTTAAAAAAAAATTTTTTTTTTTAATAAAACAGCCTAAAAATTGGCCCAGGTCCCCCTGGCTTAGTCAGACCGCCTTCGGTTCAAATCCCAGCTACGCAACCCACTAGGGAGGGATTCGAGGGGACATACTTAATTTGTCTAAGCCACAATCTTTTCATCTGTAGAATGGGGTTGATAAGAACTGATAAAAGCTCCTACTTCATAGGCAGTATATTACCTATTCAGAAATGTCTTAGCTAAAACTAATACTTAAAAGTTAAGAAAATAATTTTTTAGGGGACGTGGGTGGCTCAGTTGGTTAGGCATCCGACTTCGGCTCAGGTCATGATTTCACGGTTCGTGGGTGTGAGCCCCACATCTGGCTCTGTGCTGTCAGCACAGAGCCTGGAGCCTGCTTGGGATTCTGTCTCTCTCTCTCTCTCTCTCTCTCTCTCTCTCTGCCCCTCCCCCACTCGCACTCAGTCTTTCTCTCTCTCAAATAAATAAATATTTTTTAAAACGTTAAACAAATTTAAAAATTAAAAAAAAAAAGAATTTTTTTAAAGAACACCAGCTTTGAAATCAGGCAGCCTTGATTTCCAGTTCTGTTCTGATATTAACTGGTCATTATGTCTCTGGGCAGCAATGACTTCCGTGAGCCTCAGTTTCATCATCTATGAAATGGGCCTCTGAATCGTACTCCCTCAAGGCTGTGCCACATGGATTCAATGAGATCAAGGGCTGGCAGGCAGCAGCACAGAGCCGTCGGGGAACATTTGTGATGATGATGAGGTCATCCCAGGAAAAGAGAACCACATTTTCAACAAAGGACCAACTCATTAGTGGGGAAGGGGAGACGCCCTTCCAGTCTCAAGACAGAGCCATGCCAAGGATAGACTCACACCCCTTCCTGGCCGTGCTGAAGGCGCCTCCTAGAGCAGGGGCAGACTGGGCTGTGAGCCCAATCTAGCATCTAAAGCACCATGCACATAGTAGGCGCTCAGTTAAGCTGGCACTTCGAAATGCTTCACTTGCTTGGAGTTTCTGAAGCAAAACTCAATCTCCTTCCCCTGCTCTGTTCACCCTGCTCCCAAAAACACACACAAAAGCCAAGTCCCCCACCCGGAACCCCAAAGACTCACTTACCTGGAATACAAGTACAACAATCTGACTTCAGGGGAGTCTGACAGGGGCCGGGAGGACACTCAGGGGACATGCAGGACACATTTCCGGCCTGAGGAGGGGAGAGATGGTGGTGGGTGGGGGCAGAGGGGAGGAGGGGAACCAGGCCCCAAGGCCCCTCAAGCTCATTCCCTATCTCACACCACCCCTCAAGCTTCCTGTCCAAGACCAAAGCCTCCAAAAGGAAGCCATCCCAAACCTTTTGAATGCCACCATGGTGACAACAAGGACAGTGTGCAGGGACTTAGTTCCTGGCATTTGCTATGGTGTGGTGAGAACATCCTCCCACGGCACATAGAAGCTTCTGGAAGGATGCCGGGAAGAGGCAAACAGAGGTTCCTCCATCAAAGACACCTTCCTGTACATCTGAGTTTTGAACCATGTGACTCTATTGGCTATTCAAAGAATTAAATTTAAAACTTACTTTTTTATTAAAAAATATTTTTAACATTTATTTATTTTGAGAGAGAGAGAGACAGAGAGAGTGTGTGTGTTTGTGTGTGAGCAGGGAAGGATGAGAGCGAGAGGGAGGGTGAGAGAGAATCCCAAGCAGGCTCTGCACTGTCAGCACAGAGCCCGACGTGGGGCTCGAACCCACGAACCGTGAGATCATGACCTGAACCAAGAGTCAGACGCTTAACGGACTGAGCCACTGGGGTGCCCGTTAAAACTTAATTTTAAATTTGAAGTTAAGGCAAAAAATAAAAAATAAAAATCCCCCGCCTCAAAAAAATAAAAAAATAAAAAATACCCCTCCCCCCCCCACCTCTGGAGCAGCAAGAGATGAGTTGCAGTGTTTGCTCCTCCACGAACGAGTCGTGCGACTCTGGACAATGTCCATCACCTCACTTAGCCTCAGTCTCCCTATCCGTGAGATGGGGTGGAAGAGGTGCCTCCATCGGGGATCACTGAGGATACATACAATGACATGATCCACGAAAGTGCTTGGCCACTGCGTGTGTGTGGCACACAGGAAGAGCCCAGGAAAGCGTGGAGGTGGCTGTCTACCTGCCTCACCCCCCCATCTCACACTGCAGCCTCTGCGGTCACTGCCAGGCCAGTGATGGTCAGAGGCTGGTAGTGAGGGTTGGCGATCAGAGCCCGGGCCTTGGATACAGACAGACCTCTTGCCACCTCCCGGTCTCGGTCTTTTCATCTGTGGAACAGGGACAGTAAAGCCGACCCAGATGAGCTGCCAGGAGCCTCGGGTAAGGCAACAGATGAAAGGCCCCAAGCCCCGTGCCTGGTGCACACTGCGTGCTCATAATCAAATCTGTGTGACGGCACCTGGCGTCACAGTAGGAACACAGTAGGTGCTTCATAACTATTCTTACAGAAGTGAATTTGCCTAAAGCGAAATAATACTCTTAACAAGCGGCGTCTGGTAATAAGCCTCTTCCCTCCCAGATGTGGATACCTTTATTGTGCTGGCAAATATTTTGCCTGGAGAGAAAAACAGCCTCCCTGGTGGGAAGTTTCCGAGGGAGTTTCATCCCCTCCCCTTCCTAGACAGATGGACCCTGTTTGCCTGTTGGCTCTTTCCTGCTCAGCAGAAGCCTCCCTGACTCCACAGACCCCCACGCCTTTAAATTCGACAGATTCCAACCAAAATCCACAACCTGGGAACTCTCCTTCCATTTGACAAGCTCACTTTTAACACCCGATCTTTCCCTCTTCCTCTAAAACCCCCAAAGGTTAGGAAAACACCCGCGAGGCTTCAGGGCTCTTGTGAGGCTCACCATGCAGACGCAGACGGTGCAGTTCTCATTGGCAGGTGAAAACACGTCCCCTTCGGCTCGGATGACGCCACTGTGAAAACAGCCTTTGAAAGACAAACAAGAGTGGAGGCATCAGACCTCTTCAAAGTGGTGGAAGCTTGAGATCTCATTAGTTTTCCAGGTATAATGTACCTGGAACATTCTCTCACTAGCCAGGATGTCCTGGGAGTGGCAGATCCAGGCACCCAGAACTGTGCAGTCCTAGGACCACCCCCCCCCCCGAGGGGTAAGCAAGAGACACCCACATCAGATGGCCCAGGAGGGCTCCATTCGTGTCTGTAAACCTAGAACTATATGCAGGACCTGGCATATTTTCCCCATAAGGCAGGAAAGGCAGCCAGACAGCCCTGGGTTCAAAACCTGGCCTGTCCATTCAGGAACCCGGGTGACCTTGGACATGTCACTTAGCCTCTCTGGACTCAGTTGTCTTTATCGTAAAATGGGAACACCACCGTGGGCAGGGACTTGGACGGATCCACAGCCATTCGCAATCAGGGCTCAGTATAGAGCAGGAACGTGGTAAGAGGCCACGAACATCCTGAAGACACCACTAAGTCTATGCTCATTCTAACCCTTAGGAAGATGTCTTCACTGCTGTTCCACTCGCAGTGGCCTCAGCATCTTATCACCGGAGCTTCAGAGAACGCAGCAGTTCTGGCCCCCCCACCCTCCCAGGTCTACTGAAGGAGAAGCTGCATTGTAACGAGATCCCAGGGATTCGTGTGCAGAGTGAGTTTTGCCAAGCTCTGTTTGAAGGACTCGTTAAGATTCAGGGTCGTTATCCTTGCAGGAACGGGAAGCCGATGAAAAACTGTAAACAGATCATGGGAGGGAATTGGAAAGAGGACAGGATTGATGAAGGATCCCTCCTCTGGCTGTGGGAGGGGAGTTGGGACAGGGAAGGGGACATCTGGAGAAGGGAGATGTGGAGGAACTCACTGAATGAATGAATGAATGAATGAATGAGGCTCAAAAAGGATCCCCAAAAGATGGCAAGTTCCCCTTGAGGGATACCACAGCGTGGACCAGTGGGTCTCAAAGTGTGGTCCTTGGACCAGCAACTTCAGCATCACCTGGGAACTTGCTGGAAACGCAAATCCACAGGCCCTACCCCATGCCTAATAAATCAGAAGCTCTGGGGGTGAGGCCCCCAGATTCTAATGATTCAGGTGATTCTAACGTACCCCAAAGTTAGAGAACAGCCTTTCAGCTGCAGAAGGGCTGGGGAAGAAGAGAAGCAGGATCATGAGGGGGACTCTTAGCCTCCCCCAGACCAGCTCCCACCTGTGCACGACGGGCAGCAGCCTCCATCTTCGGAGGGAATCGGGTGGGAACAAGCAGCTTCACACATCACCTTTTCACAGCTCACCTCCCCGTTCTGGAAGCAGAAGCAGGACTTCCAGCCATCACGAGGCCCCAGACACTGGACCAGGGTAGCCCTCGGGATCCCTCCCACCTACCTGGCACCGGCACTGGGAACACCCAGCCTCTGTCCAGCGGCTTCCGGACTCATACGTGGCTCCCAGGTGCCAACAGGCAGAGGACCCTGGTGCCAACCACGTGGCCTCTGGGCCCCTGGGCAAGTAAGGAGTCACCTCCTGTAGTTGCGAGGGAGGTCCCAGGGTTCCCAGGAGGGAGGCACTAGGCACAGGAGTGGCCACCAGGGTGGCTGGCGGCCAAGTGTGTGGTGCAGGGGTGGGAGACGGCAGGCTGGTGGTCCTGACGCCAGCTGGGGGCCCCGGGGCTCCGGAAGGAGGGCTGTGTCCAGGGGAGAGGGCAGGCCGGCCCGCCTCCGGGAGCAGCAGTAGCATTTTGGGCGGGTGCTGCAGGGGCTGCAGGATGGCAGAGGGGGCCAGCACGGCTTTGGGGAAAGCTGAAACGGAAGCACGGGGGTCTCTTGAGGGAGGCAGCAGCAGTGGCAGGAGGCGAGACTGCAGCCCACCGCCAGTCACTGAATGTCCGTGGACCAGTTTTTATTCATCAGCATAAGAGTCTAATACCCCCAGTTCACCCTAGACCAAGGGGGCTACAGTGACCATCACACAAGGCTGAGGGGAAAGCACTACAGGAGCAGGCCCAATGACAAGTTGGGAGTGGGTCCCCTGCTGCCCCGCCCAGACGTGGCTTCCCAAGAGGGGATGCTGAGGCTCGGGATGAAGGAACAGCCCGGGGAAAGCTTGCCATGGGCTAGAAAGAGCATCTTCGGCATTTAGATGATCGGAAACGCATGTTTATAGGCACACTGTCAAAGTATGGCAGAGCGAACTGACGCCACATCGTCCAAAGTGTCCCTGGGAGCCCAGGTTACTGCGACTCCTGTCACAAGCTCCTCTCCCCGCTCCCCCGCCCCCCCCAACCTTTTACCATTTGGGGGAAAACAAAAGGGTTAGGGAAACAGTAAAATGACAAGGGAGGACGAATGGGTAAAGAAGTAGAAGGAAGAAGTGAGAAAGAAAGTGAAGAGTTGGAAATAACAAAACGAATTGAAAAAGAATGGGTAGAAAAGGAAAAAGGCCCAGCGCTGGGAGGGCAGGGCCAGGGCAGGGGGCGTGGCTTGGGTGGGACGGGGGCGTGGCCTGGGGAAACAGGCCTAAGGATGGAGCTGGAGGGCGGGGCCTGGGGGGACGGGCCTAATGTTGGGGCGGCGCCTTGGAGCTGTAGGGCGGGGCCTGGAGAAAGGCTGGGGCTGGAGGGCGTGGCCTGGGCTGGGAGGGGGCGGAGCCTGCGGGCTGGAGGGAGGGGGGGCTGGGTGGGACGGAGGGGGGGCTGGGTGGGACGGAGGGGGGGCTGGGTGGGACGGGGGCGGGGCCTGGTAAAACCCGGCCCAAGGTTGGGACGGAGCTGGGGCCTAGGAGGGCAGGTATGAACAGTCGCTCACCTTCACAGGACACGCGGTCAGCTCGGAGCCTGAAACCAGGTCGGCATGTGCACAGGAAGCTGCCCACGGTGTTATGGCAGGAATGGTGACAGACTCGCCTCTCCATAGGCCTCCGACACTCGTTTACATCTGCAGGAGAGCCTCGCTGCCAACAGCCACCTTGTTGAGGCTACTTCTTCCTCCATCCCTGAGCCCAGAAGAGGCTGGGAGACTCTCCCAGCCATGTTCTGATTGGGTCCATCCCTACCTCAGAGTGTGGGAGGTGACTCAGATGTCTAGGAGTGGGGCCACAATCTACTGCTAGTCCCTTTGGAAGGTTCATACATCCAGTTGGCGTTTAACGGATGCACCGGTGACTCGTCCCCCAGCACCACGCAGCAGTGGTTACACGCTGGCTGGTGGGGATGAGCCCTGCTGGGAATGTCATCTCCAAACCTTCCACCATCCCACGGGCCAGGTTTGAGATGGTGCAGCCCCTTCTGAAAAGAGTCTCGAAAATCACGGCACTGCTTCAAGGTAGGCTTCACGACAAATACCAAACTCCGTCAGAACAAGGTCTGTTTTCAGGCCCACGGGACCCCACCTTCAACCCATGAGCCAAGCTTGAGCCAAACATGCCAATCCCTTTCTGGAAATATCTGCTAATGGGCTGAGAAAACAGGGGTCTCCTTCTAAACCAGAGGAACCAAGACTAACATGCTTTATTTACCAAGGGGAGCAAAGGCAGCCAAGAAAATGGGTGAGCAGGGAGGAATCCTTGGGGTGTATCTGGGAGAGGGGTGGAAGAGGAACATAACAGGATGAAAGTTGCATGTGGCCAGGAAAAGTCCAAGACAGGGTCTTCCGTGAGGAGCCACGCCAACCCCAGGAAAAGGCAGGCTCTGAGCAGACGCTCAAGTGCTTACGGGCTCCAGGCAGCCAGGAGGTCCAGACTGCTGGCCCGTCCCCGTCCCTGGGCTCGCCCTGTCCAGGTGACCGGTGGCTGGCAGCCTAACCATGAAGACAACAGGGTCCCCCCACCTTACCTACACAGGAGTGCCGGTTGCCATGGAGATGGAAACCCGGTCTACAGGAACACCTGTAGCTGCCGATGCTGTTTCTACACCTCTGCTGACAGGGGGTCCCGAGGCATTCGTCAGTGTCTGGAAGGGACCAGGGCAAGCCTGAAGGTCATTTCCCGCCCCCCCCCCCACGGAGTATCGGAATGGTGCGCTCCCCCGTCTTCCTCTCCTGTTTTCCATCCTCAGGGCCGTGAAGGACCATCTTAAACCCTCTCTTTCTCACCACCCACATTCAGCCTATCAGTGACATTCTCCCTGGACCAGCCCTCTTCTCTCCATCCTCACTGCCCTACCATAGCCTGGGCTGCCTTTGCGTCTAGTCTGGAGAAGAGTAATGGCCTCACGCAGCTCCCCTGTGCCCCTCCTAAGCCATCTGCTACCTGGCCTCCAGGCTGTTCTGTGCAAAGGGCACCTCTGATCAGGCCACTCTCTGCTCCCACAGGCACCACTGTGGTACCAATGCTCCACCATAGCTCTCGACCCCCCGGGCGGCCTTTCCTACCTCCTTCCCTGCCCCTCACCTTTGTTCTGCCATCGTCTAAATGCACCATGTTCTTGGGGGCCTCCCTCTTGGCCCATGTTCTTTTGTCTGCCCGGCATGCCTGTGCATCTTGACTGGGGGCAAACTCCTACTCATACCTCAAAACTCAGCTTCTATAGCACCTCCTCTGTCAAAGCTTCCCCAGACCATCGTTTGAAATCATGAAAAGCTGGAAATAATCCACATGTTCATCAATAAAAGAAGAGTTGGTAAACTAGGGGGTGTTTGCGCTGCAGAGCAGCAGGAAGCAGTTAAAAAGAACAAGGCAGTGGGGCTCCTGGGTGGCTCAGTCGGTTGAGCATCTGACTTCAGCTCAGGTCATGATCTCACAGTTCGTGGTCTTGAGCCCCGCGTCGGGCTCTGTGCTGACAGCTCAGAGCCTGGAGCCTGCTTCAGATTCTATGTCTCCCTCTCTCTCTGCTCCTCCCCCGCTCATGTTCTGTCTCTCTCTCCTTCAAAAATAAATAAAAACATTAAAAAAAAAAAAAAAAGGAACAAGGCAGGTTTGTTTGCCCGGATGTGGAGACACCTTCGCGACAGGTTGCTGAGAGGAGAAAAAGCAGGGAGAGGAACAACTGGGTTCAAATCCCAGCCCTAACATGATCTTGGGCAAGTTACTTAATTTCTTCAATTTCTCAGTGGTCCTATCAGGAAAACGGAAGTAAACAGTATCAACCTCACAGGATCAGTTTGAAATGGGAATGAAATGCCAAAAGGCACGCAAAGTGTGAGCACGGTGCCAGAATCCAGTTCTGCAACCGTCTGCTGCTCGTCTCTTGTCCTTAATTAGGTTTAGATGAGGTCTTGAGGCGGCTGGGGGGTGGGGGGGACCCTCGTGATGGGATCGTGCCCTTAGAGCTTGCTATCTCTACTTGTAAGAACCAGCAAGAAGTGACTGGCTACAAGCCAGGAAGGGCCTTCACCCGAAAGTGAATGGGCTGGCACCTTGACCTCGGACTTCCCGGCCTCCAGACCCGTGAGAACAAATTTCTGTTGTTAAAGCGGCCCACGCGGTGGGATTTTGTTACAGCAACCGGAGAGGGCTAAGACACCAGGGTTATTCCCCAGGCAGAGTAGAGAGAAGGAGGGGCAGAGAAGGTCTGGAACTAGCAACTTTTAAAACTTATTTTCCCATTTATGACCATTTCAAACAATAGAAAATAATAGCGCAGGTTCATGGGCCAGCTTTCCCCTCATCTGCCTCGTTTAAGAGAGAATGCTTCCTTCTGTAAGTCATCTTAAAGGAAAGGGTGACTATGTTCAAAGATCTCCCTCATCCTACCCACTCAGGAGCAAAGACTCCTTCCTCTCCCCAGGGCTCCCCCAGCACTGACCCCTCACCCCAACCTTGTTCTGCCTCTCCCCACCAGACTGGGGGCAGGTGGAGCTAATGAATGCAGGGGGTGAATGACTGCAGCAGGCACAGTGTCGCATGTCCCACGTCCCACGAAGCCCTCCCTCACCTCGGTGGCCTCCTCCGCCCAGCCCCTAGGCCTCTCCAGCCCCCTCCCTCCACCCTGTTGTGCCGGGTCAGAGCAAGGGCCCTAGAGTCGACATGCCAGGATTCAAGCTGACTCCAGTGTTTACTGACAGAACGGCCTTGGGTGAGCCTCAGTTTTCCCATCAGCAAAATGGGGGCGATACAGTGTCTCCCTCAGGGGACCATGGGGAAGGTAAGACGCAGTAATGCACGGACAAAGTGCACATGTTGGGCTGGGTAGGGCCGCGCCTTCAACTCGGAGCCCAGCAGTGGGGGTCACCTGTCCCCGGGCCACTCACCTCGGCAGCTGTGGCGGTCGGCAGACAGCTGCATGCCGGGCCCACACTCACACACAAATCCGCCTTCTGTGTTCACGCACTGGCCCTCGCAGGAGGAGCTTAAGCATTCGTCAATGTCTGGGAAGAGAGAAAACATCTTTGCACGGACCACTCTGAACGTGGCTGCGTGCAGGGAAAAACTCTACCCCACAGGGACCCTGTCTGCGCAAGAAGCCCGCCTTCAGCCGGGTGGAACCCCCACCCGAGACAGAAAGACCAGGCTCCAGGAAGGTCATCGGCCATGAGGGAACCTCCAGGAAGCAGAGGCCGAGAGGCCAGGCTCCTGCTCTGTGACCCACGCAGACCAGATGACAGAGAGCATGGCTGAGACAGAACGATTTTCAATGGCCCCACCGCAGGGCGACCCTAACAGGGCAGAGGAGACTGAACGGGGAGGCTGACTAAAGTCCACTAAGTGTTTATTGAGCACCACCTGTACACAGCCGATCTGGAGGGGGGGCCATTGAGGACACAAATGTGACCAAGACATGGCGCAGACTCTCCGGCTGGTTACGGTCTGATAACATTTAAGAGCCACGACACATGCCTGTGAGGCAAGCGCACGGCCGGGTGATACGTGCCCCCCCCCCCCCCGGGGGGGGCCCCCCCCCCCCCCCGCCGGGGGGGGGGGGGGGGGGGGGGGGAGTTCACGCCTGCAGGGTGAGAGGCACCAGGGCACAGAACTCCCCACCCCCGCTTCATGGCATCCCTTCCTCCTCTAAGAACTGTGGTCCATGGTGGCTCTCAAGGACCCACAGCATCTGCAACCGCCCACTGCAGTCTGCATCCGAGTCTCCCACCCCCTGGCCCCGTGCCTGCAGGACACCTGCATTCTCTCTACTTGCTCTCCCCACAGCGGGCCCCTCGGGACCACAACCACCGCCTCTAGGAAGCCCACCTTGACTAACCCCATCCCACCGGGATCCCTCGTGGTGGCGGCCAGTGCTGCCCTGCTCGGTGCTAGCTCTGACACTCTTCTCTGGCTTTTTCTTGACCCAGTCCCCTGGGCAACAAGAAGTGTAGGCAGGAAGTACTCCCCATGAAAAACATGCAGGGGAGGATGAACTGCTTCAGCCCGCCTGAAGAGGATGTTGCAATGGGCCCCGAGCACCAAAACTCCTTAGTGAGACCCTTGGCCCGATGGTAAAAATTCTGTTGTAAGGACTGTTCCCCACTCACCATATAAAGTGAGCAAAATAAGGAGCAAAAACTATGGATAAAGCATGACTGATGCCAATTTATAAAACACACAGATATGCAGCACGTGCGCACGCACGCACACGCGCGCACACACACACACACACACACACACACACACGTCCAGGGAAAAGGGAAGAAAAAACAAGTTCATTTTAGGAACAAATATCCGGGGACATCGGGGACATGTTTGTTTTCATCTTCTACCCTCCTCTTACTTTCCAAATGTTCCAAAATAAGTTGTTTTTCACTTTTATATTTGGAGAAGAGACCTTATTTTTACAAAGTCCAAATTCAAAAAAAGGCTTTCTTTCAACTCTCTGGAAAGATATGCAAGAAACTGGTCCCAGAGGCTGCCTCTGAGGAAGGCAACAGACTTGGTCTGTAAGAACTTTTTTTAAAATCATAGGGGCGCGTGGGGGGCTCAGTCGGGTAAGCTTGGGACTTTGGCTCAGGTCAGGATCTGGTGGTTCATGAGTTCGAGCCCCGCCTCAGGCTCTGTGCTGGCAGCTCGGAGCCTGGAGCCTGCTTCGGATTCTGTGTCTCCCTCTCTCTCTCTCTGCCCCTTCCCCACTTACTCTCTTGTTTCTGTCTCTCAAAAATGAATAAACATTAACAAAAACTTTTTTCATTAAAAAAAAAAAAAAAGAACTTTTTGAAATCACAAACGAATCACACTTTTACACAGTAATTATTGAGGTTTGCTTCCCTCAGTGACTCAAACATCACGTTCCCAAGGGAGCCTTCCGTGGTCAACCCTGACTTCGGTCCTGGTTATCTGTCCCCCTGTGGGTCGGCCTCCAGGCACTTCACCACTTAGGGTCCTGTCACACGGACAGGGCTGCGGTTATCCTTACTTGTCTCCCCTCCTCTGATTGCGAAGCGGGGGCCAACCCACGACTCGTCACCGCAGGCCCTCGCTCAAGTTCCTGGCCCCGAGCTGCCCAAATATCTGTCAGATGGATATTTGGGCATCTGGAGGGCCGGCACCTCCCTGCCCACTCTCAAACCAGAGCTCTCCCTGGCTCAGCCTTGCCCTGCATCTCTCTGCAGACTGTTCTGGAAGGACAGCAGAGACAGAATCCCCTCCCGCCCCGTCCCCGCCAGCTCCCAGGTCTCTCACCCGTACACCTGATGCCGACAGCCGTCTCTGTCATGGTGAAGCCCACGGGGCACACCCGGGCCACCTCCTGACAGCCGCCATGGTTACAGGCAAGGTCACAGCCATACTCTCCACAGGGTCCATGGGCTTCTGAAACAGGCAGCCCACGGGTGAGCACACACCATGCCCCACTCCCGGCCGTCCCCACCTCAATTCTGCTGGGAAGGGGCTGGGGAGGCAGAAAGGCCCGATCGTAAATCCAGCACTGCCACTTACTAGCCATGAAACCCTGGGCGAGCCACTAACTTCCGTGCCTCAGTTTCCTCATCTATAAAACGGGGATGAGAACGCCCACCTAGGTGGTTGTCGGAAGATGATACTCTAAGACCAAACCCTGTGCCTGGCACGTAGTCTCAGCCATGCCCCCCCCCCCCCCCCCCACGCCACCCCGTTACCTGGGCAGGTGGCCCCTTGCTCTCCGTCCTGGCAGGAGCAGACGTTGGGAGCAATGCAGATACCCCTCCCGCAGCCAAAGGAGCAGAGGGCTGAGAGGAGAAATGCAGGTGAGGTAGTGGGGGCTGGGGCCCCCAATCTGCCCTATTTAGGCCAGCCCAGGGAGTGAGCGCCCTGCTGTGGAGGATGTTTGGGGCACAGGGACCGGCACTTACGAAGGGTGCAGTGCCCACTGCCCATGGATGGTGCCCAGCCAGGGCAGCAGCCACTCCCGAAGCCTGAGAGGCAGACGTGGGGGCCCAGCCGGCGTCTAGAAGAGAGGAGAGAATGCTTTTCCACATTTCCGCACCGGGCAAGGGACTGGTCTACCAGGCCGTGAAAGTCTCCCGGCCAGTCAACAAATAGTTCTCGAAACCTGCCAGAGGGGCAGTGGGAAGTCCCCAAAGAAAAACGACCCCGACAGTCTCTCCCGGAGGCAGGACAAAGAAAAAGGGGTGGGAGAACAGACATCAGCCTCCTACAGATGCCTGCCACATGAACAGAGGCAGAGTGGCCGGGAGAGAGGGGCCTCAGCACTGACGGGGAAAGATGGCAATGGCTGAAGAGCCCCAGGCGTGGCTGCCGCAGGACCTTTGCACCTGCAGCTCTCTCCGTCAGGAAGGTTCTTCCTCAGAAATGCACCCAACTCTCTTCTGCCTTTACCCAGGTCTCTCGGCTCATGTACCTTCTCAGAGAGATCCTTCTTGCCCACTCTTATCTTGTTTTATTCTTCTTCATAACACGTACTTTCTGGGGCATTCGGTTACTTATCAATTTGTTGATTCGTTCATTGTCTGTCTCCCCTCTCATTCTCTGAGGACCAGGGCTTCATCTTTTTTGTTCACCTCAGTGTCAAAAGCGATGCCCGCCCGGCACATAGTATGTGCTCAATAAATGGCAGTTGAGGGAAAGGTTGAGAAAGGAAACCAGCAGAAGAGACAAAGGAGGAGGCCAGTCCCAGAGAAGCCAGAGAGAGGTCATTCCCCAGGTGACATCAATGTGGTGGTGGGGGGGGGGGGCGGTGCCAGCAAGCTGCCCAAAACAGCAAAGGGAAGCGTGTGCCTGACCCTGGGCGAGGCATAGCAGTACAGCCAGGAACAAGTCACTTTCCCCACCTTCAAGGGGCTCTGGGCAGACAAACAACCAGGCGGAAACGAAATAGTGTGACAAGTGCCACAATGGGACAGGCTTTGGAGTCCCAAGGAGGGTCAGGGGAGGCTTCCTGGAAGGACAGAATCTATCTAGGCTGAGGCAGGAAAAAGTAGAGTAGGGGCAGGCTGTGAGAGCGGAGGGGGGTGGGGGTGCTCCAGGCAGAGGGAACAGCAGGTGCACAGTCCGGGAGGGGGATGGAGGTGGTGAGGGGAACTGGTCCTGTGGTGGCTAGGCGCCGAGATGAAGCCCAGCCTACTTAGAACTGGGAATCCCGGCACCGCAGGAGAGGGACAAGAAAACCCTGCCCTACGGAGGCTGCTGGGAATAAATATGCTGCCACTCAGGCAGTCTGCGGAGCACCCAGAACACGCGCCACGTGCCAGGTGCCGCAGCAGGCACTGGCCACGTGGGAAAGGCAGACTCACTCCACGCCTGAGAGTATCTGTCAAAAGCGACAAGTGCTCCGGAAAGGGGAACTTTCGGCACACGGCGGTCCAGAAACATCTGCAGCAGACGGTCCCTGGAGCCTCAAAGACTCTCCCCTCTCTGAAGTTATCACAGAAGAAGCAAAGAAGCGCGGGGCTGGGGGGCTGGGGGGCTGGGGGTGGGAGGTGCTGGCAGTGATGTCCCACCCGCTACCCCTTGCTAGAGCGATTTTGTCGGCAGCCTGGGAAAGAGGAGCCAGCGGCTCCGGCTCCTCAGACGGGGCTCTGAAAGGGGCTGGGGTGCCACCAGAGCGGCGGACGGAAGGATGCTCGCGAGGCTGGTGGAGCCGCGCCCTCAGGTGGGCGGCGGCCGAGCGCCCCAAGGAGCCTCCTAGGGCTGGCGGCGACGGGGAAGACAGGTGGCTGGAAGGCTGTGAAACGCCGCGGGGGCCCGGCCCATCTGGGCAGGAACTGGCGGTGGCTGCGGAGCACACGTGCGAGCTGCGAGCCTGGCGGGGCCGCCCCCCTGCGCGCCCCCCGAGGCGGTGGCCGCGGGCCAGGCCGCCCGCTGACACCGTGTTCCCTCGCTCGGAGCATCACGCACACGCGGCGGCCCGGCCTCCGCCGGGAGGGGACTCGAGGGGAGGGTGGCATCAACCGGGAAAGAGCAAAGGGGCAAACACCCCACCCCCGCCCGCGCGCGCGCACAGGCGGAAACCGAAACGTGACCCAGGGAGAGCCCGGCGGTTCCAAGGTCCAGGGGCGTGCGTGCAGCCTGGACGCAGAGGAAGCCCCCAGCCCCGGCGCGGCCGGCGCGGCCGGGAGGCCCGTTCGCCAGCGACGACCAGCCGCTCCGGAGACCAGGTGGCACGTCCCGGGCTGCCCTCGCCAGGGGTCCGCGCGCCAGGGCAGACTCAGAGGGGCTCACTCAGCGCCTGGATCTCCATCCCCCCCCCCCAGGTTCTTGTCAGGACAGCCCCTCCAGGGGCGCAGAACGGGTTCCCGCCCGGAGCACAGGCTGCTGTCTCTTTGTCCGGACCCCCCCCCCCTCCCCGGGCTGCGCCCGCGCACGGACAGCGCCCGGGAGGGGAGCCCCGAGGCGCGGCTGCCGGCGGCTCCGGGGCGCCCTTCTGCCCCACGCCGGGAGCGCCCCTGCCGCGGGGCAGGGGAGGGGCTCGAGGCGCTTACCTCTCGGCCGCGAAATGCCCGGGCGGCTTCCTCCCGGTGTAGCCGCGGGCCGGGGCCCCCGGCAGCAGGAGCGCGACGCAGGCGGCCCGGAGGAGCAGTCCGGCCCACATGACCGGCGGCGGCGGCGGGTCCCCCCGGCTCGGCTGGGCTCCGGCGCCGCGCGCGGGGGAGGGGGCTGCCGGCCCTCGCCCCTCCTCCTGGCGCCGCGGGGAGCGAACCAGCGAGCCCCGAGCTGGCACGCAGAGCCGAGCAGGGGGGCTGGGGACTCCGAGAGGAGGGGCCGGGGGCCGCGAGGGGACGCGGCGGACGGCTGGGGGGGGGGGGGGGGGGGTGGGGGTGGGGGGTCTCTGGCACCTCGGAGCGAAACGCACAAAAGGCAGCGCCGCCGGCCGGCCGGTGGCCTCTAGGGGAGGCGCGGAGCCCGGGGCGGGGGCAAAGATCAGGGACCCCTGGGGGCGGGGTTTCGGCCTCGGCCCACACCCCCTGCCCGGGTTTGGGAGTCAGCTTCCTGAGAAGGGCTGTGGGCGTCAGACTGAGGCCCTGGGAGGAAAGAGACTCCCGGAGCAAGGCTGGCGCGGGAGGCTGTGCGCCGGGGCATTGCCGGTCTCCGTGGAGCGGGAGTTGCCTGTGTTGTCACGAGAAGGTGGGACGCTGGGTCACTGCGCTGCTGGGCAGTTCTAGGCCGGCTCCCAGCCTGCCAGCAGATCAGCACGCGAACCCTGAGTGCGCGGGGTCAGTGGATCCACCTGCGCCCCGGCCAGGGGGCACTAGCGGGTCTTGAACCCACAGGCTGCTCTTTGCCCATTTCTGCAGCTGCCCCAGGCCAACAATCGGAGACTGGTAGGCAGGGGGGTGGATGAAAATCGGGATCGTCCAGCTGGGAGGAAGCTGGAAGGATGACCAGATTGTGTGCCCTCTGCCCTGTGCAGGAATCTTCCCTAGCGGCCCAGTTCCGGTGAGTCAAGCTTTTGCTCAAACACTTCCAGGGATAAGGAACTCCCTGTCAATAGGCAGCCCAATTCAGTTTTGATGAACTACACTGGTTAGGAAGTGTAAAGAATCCCAGCTCCTTTGGTTCTGCCTCTACAGCTGCCCTCCTACAGGCCACCTTTAGGCTGTCACTGAGACCCATAATAACACCCACGACCACAGACGAACATGGTGTGCCACCAACGGTCTGGACTCTTGTCTCCTTCCAGACACCATCCTTTTGTCAACACAGCCCAATAGGACTTGGCTTTCCCGGCATCCACATGAACCTAAGTTTCCAGTAGAGGTGTTCTTGGCTGTCATGTTTCTATGTTGTTACCGTTGTTCATTGAACGCAAGTTACTAAGCCAATCTCCCTCCCTGAACCTGCGAGGTCGACTTTTCGAAGATCTTCAAAGATAGGCCTGTTGTCTCACCTTGTCACGCTTGATCCATCTTCCAATCTAAGCAACAAATTCTCAGCGAGTAGGTCACCAAAATTCTGTATCGTAAGAGGAGTGTGACTTTCCTATTTCTACCCATTCTGAGTCCCAAGGAACCTCAGGATCCTGTGGCATCTTTCCTTTTTGCCTCAGAACATCCACAGGTGCACCTTCTCCCTGTGCCTCATACTGCATTCCTGTTACTTTTAAAAAAGTGTTCCGGTGTCCACATAGTCGAGAACCCAGCCCTGAATTACTCAAGAGTAAGAATAAACCAAAACCCTTCCTTCACTTGAGCACCCCCCCAAATCTAGCACACCACTGCCCTTCATCATTCCTGTTTGGCCACCACTCACACAGGTGCTCCTTTTGCCTGGCCTCAGGAGCTACCCACAGGTTCTCAACACATTTACACGAGACAAAAATTCCCTTGCACACACCTGTCCCACCTCGTGCCAGCCTCTCCCACGCTCCAGCGCGACTCAGCTGCCTCCTCCCTACACTCTGCTACGCTCTGTCCCCTCCGCCACCGGCTCACCCCGGAACTGCAGCAGGGTTTGCTCCATATTGGTCACTGAGCAGCTGGACAGTTGACCTGCAGCTTCGTGCTTGAAGCAAACCCTCATTTTCCCCTCAAGAGGAGCCCAGGATGTTTAAGGCATGGTGAATTCCAAAATTTACTCATTCCTCGGTGCTTTCTCAACAGCCCCGGGCGTTTCTTTCCTTTCCCCCAGTTCCTTTTGGACCTTAGGGCATTCACCTTGCTCCTCTTCTCATCGGTTCGCTTCTTTCCTTTGGTGTTTTGCTACTTTCTTTTGTCTTTTGGTTCGTTCGATCTCGAGGCTTCTCAGAGTTTGGACTCTGAGAGCCTCGAATTTAATATTGTTCGTCTCCAAGGACTAGTTTAGGCATACCCCTTCGTCACAGCTCCTCCGTGTTTCCTCCCCACTTCTGTGGCCTGTGGCTTCTCCGTAACAAAAGGGACCCTCCACTGAGGGCGGAGGATCCAAGTTGTTGTTGGCTGCAGAAAGGCGGCCTCTGGCTTGTGACCCTTCCAAATGGTCATGTGATGAGTCAGTGTTTCTATTATTCTCCCAAAGGTCCCTTCGTGCAGAGGCCTGGGGTGAGTAGCTCATCAGCGCCTACATGGAAAGGAGCCACTCCAGCTGGCTGTAGCAAAGCTCCAAGGGCAACCTTTCACCCCTCGAGAGGTGATTAATCGTTTTTAAGAGGGGTTGTGGGAGTGTGGCGGGAGAACGTCAGTTTCCAAAGGATTGCTGGAATTCAATCCAGAGTGAATATACCCAAGATTATAGCAAACAAAACAAAACTGCAAGGACTCCACAGCTCCCAAAGTCAAGACTGAAGCCACTGACACGGAAGAACCTCCTTACTCAAGGTAGCAGGTCTCCGCGGCTGCAGGTCAGACCACGAAAAAGGACCGGATAATCCTCCCACCACAGTCTCTTTCTCACCTCCGCACCTTAGAGTCAATCCTCCATCTAGGATTAAATTTTTAAAATAATCACAATCTGGAGACCGTTGCTTGCCTGCCTCATTAAAGCTGGTCTCTGGCATGGGGGCAGGCCTTTTCAATTCAAACCATGACTTGAAGAATTCAAATCACAGTGTTGAGTTTCAAGTTCAAACTGTGGTTTTTTTTTGAGAGATGCTGATTATTTTTTCCCTTAAGACCCTTACTCCCCACCCTCAGAAATCCCAGAAGAGGAAGGGGAATAGAACAGTAAAGAAACACCCGGAATGCCTCCTAGGAAATGAGACTTACTCCCGAAGACCCCCAAAGTGGAGATGCTTCCTTGCCCTTTCTCTTTTAAGCTAGAATCTCCCGAAACCACAGTTTGAACTTGAAACCACAATTTTCCTGACACTGTATCAAAGGCTGGTCTTAAAGGAGCCTGCCAATATGCCCAGGATCAACCCTCCTCTCCACTGTTGGGACAGAGCAGCCTTTATTCCCACTGGGTCACTGGTGGAAATGTGGGCCCAAACACTGTGACCCACTGAGCCAAAAGAAGACGGGCTCTGTTTGCTGCACAGAAGGGTGAACCCCAAACGTGTCCTACTCCTGTATTCTCAAACCCAAGGCGCCAAAGGTTTACCTGATTAAACCAGAGGAAATAAAATCAGACTCCAAAGGGCATGTGGCAACAGGAAGCTGGGAGGTGCATGAGGAGCTCCTCGCCCGGGCCAAGGAGTAGCGCCTGGGGGCTGCTTGGCCGGACGCTGTACACGTGTCTGAAATGACACCAGGAAAGGGAGCCCAAGCAACCCCCAGGCCCAGCAGGTTACTAACAGAGGCGACTGGGAATCAAATGGTGACTACAGGGTCAAGAGCACTCAAGGCCACTGAGTTTTGAAGCCCTGACTCCCGTTATCCTTGGGATCCCACCAAAAACGATCACGTGGCAAAGAAGACACAGCTGTCATTTCTCTCCTTGGGAACCGCTGTTGCAGCAGCAAAGTCAAGTGACTACAGTGGCTGCCGTAAAGGAGGGAAAGGACCTTACACTGAACCGCTGCAGTGTGACCGGGTTGATGCTGGGGAGCTGGGCAGCAGGAAGGAAAGCGGAAGCAAATGGATCTTTCTTCTTAGATTCTACTTTATTTGGTAAAACTCGGAAACTAACAACCAATTCACGGCCCCCGACCTTCTTCCCTCTGAAGAAGGCCGTTCCCCAGAGACAAAAAAAGGCTGTGGCTTGGGTAACACCCACCATCTCCAGGTTTCAGACTCAGAGCAGCTCATGGCCTGGTGGTCAGGCCTCCAGACCCAAAGCTCTCAGGCAATAGAGAAAGCAAAAGGAAGCTCTCACTTCAGAGACAATGACCCGTCCCACCCCCTTCCCCCCTACCCACAGCCTCCCCACACCCCAACCTAAATAAAAAGATAGCAGAGGACAATGCATGAGTGTGATACACACACACACATACACACACACATACACACACACACACACGCACACAGAGCTTCTTTTCAGCCCAAGAGCTGCAAACTCCCTCCCTGGAAGGACAACCGGCAACACCAATCAAGGCTTGGTGGTCCAAAGCGATGGCTGGAATCATCTGAGACTGGTAAACATCCAGGGAGAAAATACTTCACCTTCACCCCGTTCCCAGGTCTCCAGTGAACTGGTTTTAGTTCAAAGAAATCCCCATTTCCACACAGGTAGACTGTGGCCTCTGGGACAGCTGGCTTAGGGGAAGGTTTCCCCTGGCCGAGAAGACAGTGGCGGGGGAGGGGAGCAGGGCAGGAGAGCAAAGCCTTCAGGGAGGGTCTGGGAAAGGGGACCCCAGCCCTTGGCTAATGGATCCGCGTCAGCTCCTCCACAACCTTGATCAGGTCGTCGGCGGTGGCCTCTCGCTTCATTCCGCTGCCATCATCATACTGCAATGAGGAAAGGGGAGGACTGTGAGGGCCACTGGGGTGCTCTCTCACCCCAGGGAGGGGCGAAAGGACAGTCACAGCGAGAAGCACCTGTCGGCAGTATTGCCGTGGCAGGGAAGGAGGTCTCATCGGAAACCCACACCTTTCCTTAAAGGTACAAGTCAGCAAGGTCTCCTGACAGCAAAGCTGGTTCGAAGGCCACCACCTGGCATACATCTCTCTCCCTTCCAGAATGTCCCCCAGAGGCACCATCTCCAGTGAACAATACCCCAAAACTCTGCACTGTGGCAAGGTCTCTTCCCTATAGGATCCTGACCCTGCCTCCCATCTGTGGGTTGCCAGAGATCTGTACATGCCCGAATATGCCCTCACTCCTGGAGGTCACACAGGTGAAGTTCCTAGTACAGTGCCGTGACGCTCAGCCACATCCCCTTGCCCTCGGACTCCACCTTCCCACGTGGGTAGGAAACTACTTAGAAAGGGCCGCTGGTACTTGGGGGTGGAGGCAGGAGACACCGGCACTCTGGTGTCTCCAGCACTCCTGGCCCTGCCATGGACTTGGGTCACAGTCCAAACACCGCACAGCTCACCTGTAGGTTTGCCACGACCTCCTGCATCTTGGGCCGGCTGATGTCTAGGAAACT